TAAATAACCCCAGTTCCCTCAGCCTCTCCTCATAAGTCATGTGCCCCAGCCCCCTAATCATTTCATTGGGGGGACTTCTTGGGGTGTGTGTGTGTGTGGGGGGGCGCTTGGCAGTAGCTCTGCGACCTTTGCCGACCTGCTTTGTGAGCCTGAGGCACCCTGCGTGGGGCAGGGGTGGAAACAGCCGGCGGCGCCAGTCACCAGCGGAAGATCAGCCTCAGGACAATGACGCGGCCGAATCCCGGCGCTCCGCGCTCACGCGCCGCTACTCCGACCCCCAGCGACAGTTCCCGCAGCTGGCGCGTGGCCGCACAGAAGCGGCGCGCTGCATTCTGGGAAGCTAGTCCTCTCGGCCCGGACATTCCGTGCGGCCGCCTCATGCGGCTCTCGCCGGGTGGGGTTGGTTGGTACATCTGCTCCGCACCGGGCGGCCTGGGGACTCCCCACCTGGAAGGACTCTATCTCCCAGGGGGCCGTGCGGCGGGGCCGGAAACTACGCGTAGGAAGGAGAGGACAGCCGCGCCCAAGCGCAGTGAACGCTGCTGCGGCGGCCAGCTCGGGGCAGGCGGGAGGGAGGGGCGCCGCGCGCGCGCGCGCGCGCCTCGGGCCCGAGAGGAGAGACCGCGGGCTGGTCCGGGTAGAAGGTAATTGAGCGGGGGAGGGCGTTGGCCCGGAGGGGGGACCGGGCACCGTGGCTGCGACCCACTGGCGGGGCTGGAACGGGGAGTGACGGGCGCGTGAGGGGATCCCGGGGCGGGGCAGCCGTTGGGTGAGGCAGGGAAGAGCCAGGGAGCGGGGCCTGTACTCGGGGCGGCGGGGCTGGGATGCCGGGGGCAGGTGGGGGCAGGGGCGCTGGAAGGATTTGTGTAGTGGGGGAGCTAAGAGCCTTTGCACCAAACTGTAAACCCTGCATAGGATGGGAACCACTTCACCCCCAGCACGCTATGGGCTGAGGGTGTGATAAGGGGAATGACTCCACCTCATTTGTAACGGGGACCTGCTGTGATGGCCCCGTGGGAACCAGCCGCTAAAGACTGGGTAGGCTGTCAGTGCTTAACTTACGCCCCTTTCAGGTACAGCGTGCACTAGTAATGGTTGTGTCAGGTGGGATGTGTGTGTGGTGTCATAATAAATGGGGGAGACCATAGTTGAGGTTGCAGCAATATTCTATGGTAAACTTCGTGTTTAGCTGCCACATAATTTTGGCTTGGGAAACTGTTAATGATATAACGTTGCCAGATTTATATTAAAGTTTGAGAAGACTGCTAAATTTGAAGAAGGTTGCTTTAACTACTTTTCAGTTACAGGCCATTAGATTTTTTTTACCATAGGATTGGATACTGAAGGATGGGTTTCAATTGCTTGCTGCCATTTAATTCCAAAACTCCAATTTTTCACTTTAAAATTGTTTAGTTTAACTTTGAAAAGCTGAATTATTTTGGTGAAGGAAATTGACTAAATGTTTTTTCAGCTTAAAATTTGCAACTTTTTTTGAAATGGAATATGTAAAAAAAAATGTTTTGGTCCATATATCTGGTGACATGTTCAAACTCTACTTTCTAGATTGATAAGGAAAAATAGCCACCATAACTGTCTCACATTAGGGTTGTTTGAAGGATCACACACCTAGCAAAAGAGCCCACCACATTCATAATTCACATTTCAAAGTTAACTTTGATTGTGAGTTTCAGAGCTCACCATAGAGAAACACAAGGTTGCATGGAGAATTTTAAGCACAGCCAATAATGCATTGAATGAATTTAGGAACTCTAAGATGAAAGGTAAGCGTATGCCATAGAATGGAAATATTTGGCTCAATATTCTGCAGATTTCACAGCTAGTACAGGAGGATTGGGGTCAATAGTCTCCCTTACTTTCTTTGCTAAAACTTCAGTTTCCTGGCAACTTTCATAATGAGCAGTCCTTCTCTTGCTTTGGTCATTGTTGTTAATCGTGCGAAGCACCTTAGGAAGTTAGACATTGGGAGGCTGCAGTAGTAGGACCCATAATACCATAGAAGAAGCCTCAAGTTGAGTATCTCTCCAGAGGTGGATATCTTCATTCTTGCCATATCTTTTCATAAAGATTCAATAATAGCTCCATTTCCTAATGGAAAGCAATAGCCATCTCTGGGGATTAAGGGGAGCATCTGTTTTCCATTTATTTAGACCTAGTATCTTTTTCTTATTCCAGCAAATTATCTCTATTACCAATCCTGTTTAATATGAAGTGCCTTTTCTTTCCACTAACTATCTACATGTCTTCCATTTGTATTTTATTGTTACTGCTCTCTTTGTAGATGTATTCATGCTCAACCATGTATATTAGTTGGTGTCTGCTACAGACCACCAAATCACGATAGGTGCATAAGGAGGCGGTTATCCTGGTTCCCTATCTATAATGTGCAGGAAATAAAAACTGTCTGATTATGGGGGTCTTGAATTTGAGTGACATATGGTGGAGTCTCATGCTGCCAGAACTAGCATATCCTTGGAGTTTCTAAACCAGGGGTCGGCAACCGTTCAGAAGTTTTTATCAATGACCTGGAAGAAAACATAAAATCATACTGATAAAGTTTGTAGATGACACAAAAATTGAGGAAGTGGTAAATAATGAAAGGGACAGTTTACTGATTCAGAGTGATCTGGGTTGCTTGGTATACTGGATGCAAGCAAAAATGTGTGTTTGAATATGGCTTAAATGTATATACCTAGGAACAAAGAATGTAGGCCGTACTTACAAGATGGGGGAATGTTATCCTGGGAATCAGTGACTCTGAAAAAGGCTTTGGGGTTTTGGTGGATAATCAGCTGATCATGAGCTCCTGTTGAGACACTGTGGTCAAAAGAGCTAATGTGATCCTGGAATGCACAAACAGGGAAATCTCAAGTAGAAGTAGAGAGGTTATTTTACTTCTGTATTTGGCACTCATGCAACAGTGCTGGAATACTGTGTCCAGTTCTGTTGTCAACATTTCAAGAAGGATGTTGATAAATTGGAGAGGGTTCAGAGAAGTGCCACGAGAATGATTAAAGGATTAGAAAAATACATATTATAGTGATAGTCTCAAGGAGCTCAATCTATTTAGCTTAACAAAGAGATAAGGGGTGACTTGATTACTTTCTAGAAGTACCTGCATGAGTAACAAATATTTAATGATGGGCTCTTCAGTCTAGCAGAGAAAGCTATAACAGGATCAAATGGCTGGAAGTTGGACCAATTCAGACAGGGAATAAAGCATACATTAACAATAAAGGTAATTAGCCATTTGAACAATTTTCCAAAGGTTGTGGTAGATTCTCCATCAGTGACAATTTTAAAATCAAGATTGGATGTTTTTCTAAAAGCTCTATTCTATGAATGATTTTTAGGAAGAGGTAAGGCTAGACACTAGACAAGAGGTAAGGCTAGACACTAGATAATCACAATGGTCCCTTCTGGCCTTGGAATCTATGAACTCTGTTTGGGTGGTCTTGTCTATTGAGCTCTGTTGTTTTTTCTTAGATAACTGAGGGATTGTCTACACTAGCCCACTGTTCAGACTATTTCGTGTGTGAATGGCGGTGCACATCAAACTGCTGCACTCTAACTTCCCTGTGTGGAAGCTGCGGGTATGAACAAAAAAGTTCCTAGTTTGCGTTAATGTAGTCCTTGGCAAAAAGCTTAGTTAACACAGAGATAAGGATGCCTGGTGATATCTCGTGCCCTTTCAGAATGTCGAGTTCAGCAAAACTCAGACTTCTGAAAACCAGGAAATAGAGAGTGAAGGTAAACACCCATACAGTCTTAACTCTCCCCTCTTTGAGTGATGCCCCACAGTGCCCATATCACACAGTCTAGCATTCTGCCTTTTCACTGAAATGGACAGGTGCCACCTGCATTAGACCTGTGCTCAAACACTAAGCCTACTTCCCCAACAGAATACCATACTTGTAAAATTTAATAACCATTTCATACCCTTTTACGACTTCTTCATATTTGCACCCAGGTTACCACTTAGCCCTTTGCTATCCCCTGCTCATCATTAAATCCACAGACTTCTCTCATATCATACCTCTCTACTGACAATATCTATTTCAAGAGGACTCCAGTGCCCTGCTACTGGCACACCCTTCACAATTCTGTATTGAAATGATCCAGACTGGAACCTCGAGGTATACAAGCACTTCTTTCTTTTGATAACATGCTGGGGGGAGGGGCGCACGGGGGGGGGGGAGGGATGAGGAGGGAGAGCCTTGGACCCAGATGTCCTCATAACACAATCACAACTCTTCCAAGCTGCTCCATCATTCAATACAGCTACACGTAACACAATGAATGTAGCTGGAATGCATGCAAATAATTCTGAGTGGGTATTGCCAGCTCCAGGGTGGGTAAGTTAAGATTGTGTGGGTGTTTACTTTAACGCTGTATTTCCTGGTTTTCAGAAGTCTGTTATGCTGAACTTGGTGTTCTGAAAGGACATGCACTATCACTGGGCCACCATAACTCTGCATTAATGAAGCTTTTTCAATTTAATGTAAATACTAAGCCCTCAACTAGGATATTGTGTGTAGTTCTAATTGCCCCAGCTGTAAAAGATATAATAGAAATAGAAGTGGGTCCAGAGACAGATGAGTAGTGACTGATGAGATTGAGACTGCTTAGAAGGAAGGCTAGTTAAAAGGAATATGATAAAGGAATTTAAAATTGGGTGGCCATATTTACCTTTTGTCAAAATACAAGAAAAAGGTGGAATTCAATGAAATTGAAAAGCAACACATTTAAAATTGAGATAGAGGGAAATACTTCTTTACACAATTAATAATATACTTATAGAACTTGGAGTCACAAGAGAGGGAGACCAAGCACCTTGTAAGATTCAAATAACAGGATTAGACGTTTATTCAGAATAAGATTGTCATGGAAGTCACGGTTTCTGTGACTTTGAGAGACCTCTGTGACATTTTCTGCTTCAGCCCTGGGTTGACGGGGCTGGAGCTGTCAGTCGTCAGGGACCCTGGAGCTGTGTGGTGGTGGTGGTGGGCTTGAGGCATGGTGGGGGTGCTGACCCCATTCTCCCTCTCCCCCCTCAGCTTTCTTCTCCCGGCTCAGGCTTCAGTCATCCCTCATCAGCCCCTTCCCCCCCATTATTTTTAGTAAAAGTCAGACAGGTCATGGCTTCTGTGAATTTTTGTTTATGTCCATGAGTTTTACCCGAAAGTAACTGTGACAAAGTCTTAGCCTTAACATTTATAGAGAGGTTTATACAGATTGTTTATATTATCTATGTTTTTAAGTATGCCCTGAACGTAAGGAGATTTTGCTGACTTCTAACTGCTAAGAGTTCTCCTATGAGCAGGTTATTTTATAATTGTCTTTCCCTTTCCTCTGAAACACCTGGTACTGACCAGTACCAGAGACAAGATATTGACTAGGTGGACCCCTGGTCAGTCCTGGTATTGGAATTCCTATGTTCCTGTTACCAAACACTGGTTAGGTGTTTCAGTCAAAGGTCAATGCTACTCCTTTTAGTGGCTTATTGCTACATCAGTGGATATACTTCCTGAATTTTTTTTTCCATTCAGAAAAGCTCAGCATGAAGCTGAGACACTGGCTATAGCTGGTGGAGTAAGCAGGCTCTAGCTGGATATGGATACACAAT